CTAATTCGTCAAAACTGTATTTTACAGTCACGACTGTAAATCTGGCCGATTTGCCGTCTCGCGGTAAAATTTTACAGTTTCCTGTATTTTACAGTCGCCCGGTGGGGTTGTCAAAACTGTAAATAATCCGGATAGAACTGTAAAATAGCGTTTACAGTCGCACCGGTGGGGATGCTCTTAGAGGTCTAGTGTGTGAAAGAAGAGTTTCGTAACAAACACATGGCAGGTCAGTGGACATTTCTACTTGGTTTAAGTATATCGATGAAGTGGGAGTGCCGTTGCTCCCACACGACCAAATGACTTGACATTTGTAAGGGAAACGACACCACGACTGCGTCACTTCCACAACCTCGTCGCCGTTTGTTGAAACGTTGTCTACTAATCCTTTTCCTTCACACATGATAACATTGTCACTTTGGTCGTGATTTCTGAAAACACATTATTAAATTCGGCGATTTCTGATCCAAAATGTCCAAGGGCATTTGAATAGTGTAAATATGACAATCTGGGCCATTTGTCGAGCGATCACTATCAGGCAAATCAGATTTCATTTTAAAAACGACGTCATTTGAAATTTCACCATAGTTAAAAGCAAAATACACTTTTTGACCCTTACAAATGCGAGCTTAAAAAGTTACTTTAATGAGAAGAGTAGTTTAGATTTGAACCAGAGGCCTAATACCTCTGTAAAAAACAATGGAATTCGTATGAATGAGCCAATAAGCAGCCAGATTTCACATCAGGTCGAAGTTTTAAGTCGAAGTTACCACGTATGTACTACTTCGTACGTACTGTGTAATGGTTATCCCTCTACCGTGGTACTACATGTACATGTAGTAGGCAGGTGATATTTCACAACCCCACGACATCTGCCCAAAGAAAATCATAATTCCCTCTAGACATCGAAATATATAGAACAATGAAAACTAGGATGTACACAATAACGTTATAGAGAGTTCTACAAGCACATTAGTTTCACAGTTTAGGGTGCGTCTGGTAACCGGAAATATTGCAATATTTAACCCAAATCCAATCATTCCACGTGGGATTTACTCGTTGAAGAGGTCCAAAAACGCCATATTACAAAATGGACCTTTTACCTCCATTTTGAAAATGACATTTTGGTTAATCCCATTTTGCGAGAAAATGGAATATTATTTTTGAAATGTTACCAGATGCACCCTTAAATTCCAATAATATTCGATACAAAATCCATTATATTTATATTGCTACTTCCATTTCATCGTTGGTGTCAATGTCGTCAGCAGGATCGATCATGTCATCTACAGCACTATACGCCATCAGATCATCCAGCATATCCACAGACACCACATCATGGGCAGCATCTACAAGAGGGAAAAGTTTGCACTTGGCGAATCCATTAAGAATGGTCGCTTCGGGGAGCTGAGACCACACGTCGGTAATCCAGCGGAGGATGGTTGGACGAGTAGGAGCCTGTAACTTGAATGTTGAGTTGTTGTTCTTGTGTTGCTTCACTTGTCGGCAAATGTTGTCGATCCACAGATTGCGTAGCTTGGACTTGATCGGACGGATCCACGCCACGCGACGTCGGCAGGCTGGCACACTCATGTGAACCGCGATGGAATCCGTCCCAACACAACGTTGAGTTCCGTTGCATAAGCTACAACTTCCATCCGTGAAGTAAGCAGAGAAGTCGTCCCAAAAAGCAGCACCTTCTGGGTTGCGCGGTCGGGTCGGTCAGCGAAGTGGAATCGCAGGAATTCGATCCCGATCCCCGCATTCCACCATGCCGTGGGGTTGTCGTAGCTCTTGCACTTGAATCGGTCCTGCAAGGGCTCCACTTGCTTCCACACCTGCTTGTAGAAACCTTGGCGCTGCGATAGACTTTAGTGGACGGTAGCCTTGACCTTGGACGCCGTGGTCTTGAGCACCAAAAAGAGCGGGTGTTTCTTCGCTGTAGTGGTGCCCATGGCCATAGCAGTAACTCGATCCTTTGTCTTACTCCCGCACTTGATCCACACAGAGTTGTCCGACGTTCAATTCAGAGTCTTTGTCGGCAAGTACTCGTAGTTCACGCCGGTCTGGTCGGCGTTGTATATGACGTCGATGATATTATCCTTCACAACCTGCTTGACACGACCGGTGAAGGCAACAAGAGCTGCATCGCCATCCCCTTGAGATTATTGCTCAATTTATGCACGCGCGCGCAACGACAGTCCAAACCGCTTCTTGAAACCGCGCAGGCAACGCCACCCAGCCATAAAGGCGTCTTCGTCCAACCTCACGTCAATGGCCGACTCAAGCGCCATGATTTACATCATTTGGGAGGCCACTGGCACCCTGTCCTTTCACATTGATGCCACCCACCGCGCCAGTTGCTCTTCCGCTTCCCGAGGAAGTGTTGTACCCATGCCAAGTTCGCGAGAGCACTTTTGGTGTGCAGTCCGTGGATTGAGCGCCTTGGCCTTGATGTGCTCGCGCTGTTTTGTCCATGCATACACTTTCTTCCTTGCTGTCTCACGTTGAACCTTATGCAGGTGATGGAAGTGCTTGTCCAGTGTCGATGCCATGCCCACAGCGTCGAAGGAGTCAATCACGGCCTGTCGTTTCTTGTAGGTGACATGCGCGTACAAAAACTTCTCAGGGAGCTTCTTGCGACCCCCTTTCGACACCGGATGGCCATGTGGCCGCGCACCTCGAACGTCGGTCATCTCTTCATCCATGATTTTGATATGCTTGGATTGGTGTTTTTATTTCTATTTCAATTCGAAGTTACGGATATAGAATAGAAATTCTTGCACTATCCGGAGGGTTTGTTGCTATTTCATGCGAAAATAGAAATTCTGCGAGTCGAAATTTCTAAAAAGTCCGGATAGTGCCAAAATAGCAACCGTAAAAACGAAGTTTGACTTTAACCTATGCTTTAGCAATAGGTTAGAATTTACCGTTGGAGATGCTCTAAGCTGGTAGTAACAAGTTGGCGCGTGTTTATACCTCTATAAATGGATACCTAATACTACGTAGTATTATATAATTATTACATGAGTTTAGTTTACTGCGCGACACCTAACACATTTTAATATGTGCTCCTTGTCAAAATTAGTACGTAGTATTGAATATTAGACATACCGGTACCGGTATGTAAAAATAATCGAACTTTGTAGTCCCGGGGGAATAAGCACTCACATTTCATATCAGGTCGAAGTTTAAGGCGAAGTTCAGAATTCTAGATGATTTGGAAGTGGAGGTCGAATTTACGTCGAAGTTCGGAATTGGAGATGATTTGGAAGCGGAGACATGCTGGATTTCGCTTCTGTCTCATGGAAAATATAGGAAACAAAGCCTAAAGAAAGCTTGGATGAACCAGTAGTAAGAGCGGAATGCCGAACGTACATTTACTTGGGGTTACCGTAGGTAAGTGCATCTCAGTGGTTGGTGACTGATGGATGAATTTAGGATACTGTATCCCAAGCACCCAGTAATTTCCTGAGACGTTACCCGGTATCATTTCATTTGTTCGTATTATTTCATACTACCGGTAGTACTAACTACTAGTAGTACTTGAAGTACTACGTAGTACCACGTAGTACTACAGTAGTAGTCAAACGCAGTGTCAAGCAAAACAGCATGTTCCAGCAAGGGGTTAACAGTATCTTATACCGGTACTACCGATAGTAAGCATGAAAGGTAGAATTCCCTCATTAAAACAGTACCACTGCACAAAGTCCCATAAAAACATACAATATGAGACTTACAGTTAGTATACTCTGAACGCGTCATGTCCTACTGTACTTGGGGTTAAATGCATCTCAGTGGTTAGTTATCGCTAACCAGTGGCGATGAAATTGAACTAGCATCATCTGCGCTCGATGAGGGTAGTCCGATGTCCCTGATTCCAGGGCTACGGGCTAAAAAGTGAATCCGGAAGTGATATTTCCCTCGCTTTGAAACAGTATTTCGGGTCAAACAACAGTGGAACTGCTTTAACGAGGGAATTATTCTGCATATGTCAGTGGTTAGGTATCGCAAACCACTACATAGTCCCCCAAACACCCGTGTCAACTTGGTATCTGTTGTCATTTTCATTTTTATCACGTTCGTGCCATGAAGTTCACCCTCCTCTCTGCTGCTGCCGCCGTCATCGCTTTTGCCTCCAGCGTCCAAGAAACGTCCCCGTACCCGATCGTGGCCACGTATGAAAAGCTCGTGCATGAGGTAACCGCCAAGATTCAAACCACCGACTTGAAGCAGTCCCTGGAGAGCTTTGTGAACAAGTATGCGAACCGTCTTTTCAACTCAACCGAAGGCGGCCAGTCGTGGCACTGGATCTATGACCAAGCGGTCGAGTTGGCTTCCACGACGGTGACCAACACCAACGTCAAAGTCACCGTGCGACAGGTCACCCACCCGTGGGGGCAGTACTCTGTGATTGCCCGCGTTGAGCCTACTACTACTGTCAAGGACGATATTGTCATTTTGAGTGCGCACCAAGACACGATCAACAAGAAAGACTGGAATGACACTGTGAAGCGCTACATCGCCCCTGGGGCCGACGACGACGGATCGGGAACCGTGACCATCTTGAAGACGCTTAAGTACTTGCTGGCGACCCCCGAGTGGGCCCCCATCCGTCCCGTGGAGTTTCACTGGTACTCCGCCGAAGAATTTGGCCTGCAAGGATCCAAGGCAGTGGCGGAGGAGTATGCGAACGCCAGAACAGCCGTGTACGCCCAGATGCAGCTGGACATGACGGGGTACGTCCGCCCTGGTACGACCCCTGTCGTGAATTTGATCTCCGACTACATCAACGAGAACCTCAACACTTTCTTGGAGACACTCGTCGCGACCTACGTGGGCCTCCGCGTGAACCACACAGCGTGCGGCTACGACTGCTCGGATCATTACTCGTGGAACATATCGGGGTACCCCTCGTCGTTTCCGTTTGAAACCGAGTTGGTCGACTTGAACCCGAATTACCACTCCCAAAACGACACGGTCGACACCATCGATTTTAACCACATGGTCGATTTCACCAAGCTCGCGATTGCGTACGCTGTCGAGCTGACTCAGGATAGCGCCACGTCATGCTAAGCGCCACGTCATGCTAAGCGCCACGACATGCTAATCACCTCGTTGTACCGTATATTCCCAAGCTAACTTCCATGTATCAATTCCGAAACTGATTCGCGTTGTTTCGCCAACAGAATGTGTGTTGTTTCGCTAACAAAAACAACCAAATTGGGGAGTTCGTGCCGCCTCAGTTAACCACGCACTTGATTGATATGTCCGTTGCATAGAAAAACTAGGAATGATCTTCGGAAGAAGTGGTAAGATAGTGCATCGATTTTCTGGACGGTTTCTGATCACAGTTTTGGTCATTTTTCAAACCTTCATAGCTTCCCTGTCAAGTCTAATTTTTCTATTCTACTATCATGGTCGGAATATATAATCCGAGAAGAATATTAGGATGTCAACGCAAGTGTGAACAGAAACCCTTCATGATTTGTAGGCAATTTAAATACCGAAGAAAAAAATCTCTAGACGTTCGAGTTCTCGACGGGGAGATGCCGGAACTAGACGAAAACTCATCATAACGCATTAGAGAGATTTTGCAAACCGTCCGGCCACTCCCCCGGCACTTCAATTCCACGTGTTTGACAAAACAAGAACTTACCTCTGGGATCAAATAGTAAAACTCACCATACTTTATGCTTTTGCACGGGAATTGTCTCTGTGTAGGGATAAACGCCACGCCACTACACCATTCATTTGCACGAGCCACC